CCGCATCTCTGGCTGTCACCCACTGCACGTGGTTGTCACCCAGGATGGTGCACCCTGTCGATACGCTTGTCCCGTGGCCAAGCCCCAATCCTCATGTGCACTTCCTTGGGGCATGCCTCTCCTGAGAGGAAAATGCTATGCTGTGCATGTTCTGGTCTGAGCTCCAACTCATATGCCAGGCAGCCTCTCCTGGAAGGACAAGTACTAACGAGGGGGGGTGGGTGCCTTCACTCTGAGAAAGTCCCTGGAGCCTGCCTGTTCTTTAGCCAGAATGCTGCCGGAAGTCACAGGCATCGCTGACAATGGCCTACTCACAGTAAGACAATACTCTCTATGGCCAATCAGCCTGCAGGCGACTACCAGCACTCAGGCTCCTCCTCCTGTGGTTTTCTCTCCTTTTCTCCTTCCCATGTCCCAGCAGTCAGGGCTCCCACACTGGGCTGCAATCTGGTGTCACTGCAGCAGTGACTCAAGTGTGTGAGAAACCTCATTCTGGTGACATGAGGAATGCCGTAACCAACAAGATTAAACTTGAATGAGAAACCTTGTCGAGGTGTCAAGTGTCAAAATATTAGTGTTTCAAGTTGGCAGACAAGCAATTGGAAAGGGTCCAGGAACCAAGGGTAGACCTGACTAAGTCACAAAAAACGCTGAAGCCCAGGTTTGTTTGGGTTGAGGATGACAGTGATCCCTGTGAGCAGCACATCGGCCCTCTGTCTGAGGAAGCAGCGCTGAGAAAGTCCAGAGCCTTAGCAAGGTGTGATGGTAAGAGAAAAAGAACCCAATCCGAGACAGCTCGGAGAGGGCAAGTACTTGGGCTTTCTTTAGCTTCTACAATGACCTTGGCTGAATTTCTATTTTCAAACCATCATATGTCATTTTGGAACAAAACTCATTGTGGTTTGGAGTAGATGTGGCAAATGATGTGCCGGTCATGGGACGGGTCCATTTTGATCCTGAAGTTACGAGGAAATAGAGAGCAACTGAGTTTTGATAAATGCTTTTTGGATGCTGAGACTGTTGTAGTGTCTCTGAAGTATCACTGAGGCCCCCTGGCATGGGTATAATGTTGCACCTCAATTCATGCTTTTGAGAAAAGGAGGCAGGTTCAAGTAATATCATTTAGGAGCTAAATGGTTGTGTTCAGGCTGACACAATCCTTTCATCACTGTGCCGAGGCGTAGTCAGCTCTCTTGAAAGGGCACATGGTATCATCTGGGAGCCTTTCGTGTGGACTCTATCACACTGCAGGAAAGATGGCTCATGGATGGAACATACAGCCATTTCTATGCCATTTCCATGTGTGTTTGGTCCCTTTAACTTACATGAATACCTTATGTATCCACATCCATGTATGTAGTCTGCAAGTGCACAGGTCATAAAAACTAACCAACTTCTAATTGTGGATAGCAAATACCAGAAAGTAGATGTTCTGTTTTGACACTTCAGTAATGTGCTTATGTTACTGAGAAGCAGCAGGTTTCGGGGTTAACATACCTGCGTCCTCCCCTCCCTTATGGGGACAGCAGGAGACTACTAAGTTTCCAGTGACAATGATTGACAGGACTGGCCGGCTGTGAGGTGCAGGCCCTGGGAGGGCTCCTGTTCAAGCTTAGGAGGTTCCAACTTCTGCTGAAGCCTGGTTAATAATCTACCTACCCTCTGACAGCACTAGGAGGAGGTGCAGGCAGGGTATGCACTAGATATCTTATGATTAATTTAGCTCCTAAATTAATCCTCTTGGTTCAGTAAAGAAACACTCTGATAGGGAAAAAAAAAAAAAACATTCATCTTCCATGACTTACTTATGCTCTTGAATAAGCTGGCCGAAAAACAAGGTAATAGAGTAACCTTTAAAAATATTTCATCATCCATTGCTTTTCAACGGTTACCAGAATATCATTTTTATCAGTTACTGCACTCTAGATGTTTAGTGAAACTGAAACTTATTTAAATATAAGATATCATAACCAATTAAGTTATTAATTAAACAAATGTGATGCTTGAATAATTCATTAGTAACACACACACACACACACACACACACACACACACACACACACACACAAATTCCTCTTGCTGTCTCAGGACCCCATTGCCTGAATGTGAAGTCCATTTGCCCAACCACCAGAGAACAGCTTGAACCTGAGAAGCTAAAGATGATGTTAGTCTAGACAGCCATCATAGAGCACAACGACATCCCACAAGGAACCTACAAACAAGCCCGGCACAAAGATGGGTGGAGTTTGATTGTGGGTTACATGCTACAGGAATGGGGCTTCAGAAGGCCTGGAAAAACCTTTAGAGACTCCGCAGTCACCAGAAGAGACTCTGAGATCATCAGGAGGGAAGAATGGCATGTTTTGTTCTTTCCTGCAGCCCCCTTTCCCTGACTCTTTACTAGAACATGTGTTTTGAATAGACTACTATCTTTTTGTCTACTAACTAGATGACAAAAATACCATGGAGAGGTTTAACGTATCATCTAAAGTCACATAGCAAATATAGGTTAGAACCACAAGATGAAAACTGAGGCGTCTACTTTACATCCACCCTAGGCTTTCTAGAGAGGCGGAGGATCATCTGTGCTGGGCCTTAATGATTTGAGGGTCTGTTTGTTTGTTTTTTTTTTTTTTTTTTCCTAAGAGTTGTTTTGGAAAGCAAGGGGTTGTCCACAAATGAGAAAGCTTATAAAAGTAGATCATGATTTGTCTTTAAATTTAATACATAAACTGGTTGCCTTCAGTAGCGTAGAAAGCCAATCTGAGTAGCACAGGAAGCTGAACTACTACAAAGGTAGAACTACAAAGCAGAGTCCTCTTTCAGCTGAAAGTTCCAGAAGGCCAAAGTTGCTGCTCCTGGGTGGCAGCCTGCTCTTGCTCTGCCTGGTTCTAATCAGACATTTTAAGCATTGCCACTTCCCAGACCTGGATGGATACTGGGCCCCTGGGGGGCCAACCCCCCATGGTCCTGATTGCCTCACTGATAACTTAACCAAGTTTTCCTTTTTCCTTTCTGCTTCTCCAGCAGGAGCTGTGTGGCTAATGCTTAACTCCCCTGGTGTGAGAAGCCTGGGCTTTCTGTTAGACCTCCCACCACTGTTCCCTACAATGGAAATTGGCCTTTTCCCAAGATCTAGAAAATGTTTCTCCATGCCTATCAACCCAGCCTGTGTGAATCTGCAAACGCATGTGGACAGCCTGGGAAGCACAGGGTTTCCTTTGGTGCATCAGTGTGAGAGAGAGAGACTCCCTTTCCCCAACCTCCCCATGAGAATGGGTCACAGGCTCCTGAAGTCACAAACTTAGCCATGTGTCCACTTCATCCTGCATGTACTGAATGATCAAAATAGGCTCGAATAACAACAGCATAATAACAAAGCAAAGTTCCCATAGACAAGAGCAAGTTAGAGTTTTGAATCTTCTTCATCCATCATGAGCCTTAATGATGCTCTTCTTGGTGTCCTCTTCAGTCTTCCATCAGTGTGGGACTTTCTCCTTGTGGGGAGTCTTTGGGCTTCTTCTTTGCTCCTATTGTGTACAATCGCTTTCCTGATGTCTCCGATCATCTCCCCACTGCTGATGATTTTTTCTGGGCTGACTTTGTGCCCTGAAAATATTTTTGATGGACTCAGGATTTTCTGTGTATAGCTTTTGATCATGAGGATACATAGGCAAAAAGGGAAACTGAGGCCACTGTCATCACTGTCATCAATACATGTAGCTAGGTGACTTTCTCTCTTCCTATTTAAATGTCCTTTTTTCTCTATCTTGGTTGAGTGCTCTGGCTAAGACTGCCAATAATTTATCGAATAAAAGTGATGAAACAGCATCTCTATGTTGCTCCAGGTCATAGCAAGCATACTCTTGATCATGTCTCCAGTTAGAGTACTGATGCTTAGGTCTGTATTTGAGTATGGACTTTATTATTCAGAGGTTCAGTCCTTTCACGCCTAACTTGTTCAGGGATTCTATCCTGAAAGGAAATTGAATCTTATCCAGTGCCTTCCCCACGTCTGTGGTGATGAACACATGGGTTTGGCCTTCGTTATCCTGATATGATGTCATTAACTGGTGGATATTGAACCATCTTTGCCTGGGTACCTCACTTGATTGTGGTGAATTAGCTTTCTAGCATGCTGTGTTTTCCAATACAAAATCACGCTTACAAGAAATATTTGGCAGGGGTTGTTAAGGCTTACGTCCTAGACTTGAGTGGTGTGTTTATAATCTTGACGTGTTGGATAGCCTCGAAGCATGCCTCTAGAGTGTAGCCTTCCAGCTGTTTGTTCTCATTGTCATCAATAGCTGTGTTATCAAACTTTAAAAGTGTTTGCCATTCTAAAAGTCTAAAAATACAATCTCAATTTTGTCTCAGCAACATGTTTTAAATGTCATTTTTCTTATTCAATTATGCTATACAGGCATTTTATTGTTTTCTTCAAATCATTGATCTCACATTCCTACAATATCTTGTCTAGAAAGATCTTCTTGTGTGCTAAGATCTTCAGGTTTTGTTCTGGATTGATTCTGTTAACATATTTTCTGCAACTTATCATGTTATTAAAAATTTAAAGTTCATTTGAGTAGACCTTTGGAAATTATTAAGATTTTAATTTCCTCTTTCTATTGAGACCACATGCCAATATCATTATCTAACCCTGTGCACAGGTTTTTCTCAAAGTTCAAGTAATTGTGACTTAAATCCACTGTCTTTGGTTATGACACCACCCTACCCCACCCCACCCCACCCCACCCCACGCCCATGCCATCTATAAATCAGGTTATATTTTGTGCCCCAAGCTCTCTGGGAAGGTGCAGATGAAGAAAACTCGGGTTGTATGCAGGGACCTTCCTACCCTTCCTCCTCAGCCCTTCTTGCACAAGGTTACATTGTTGGGCCAGCCATATTGGAGGAAGAAAGAGAGCACATCCCATCTGTCTAGAGAGCTAGTGTGGCTTCTAACTGTGGTGTGTTTTCTCTCCCCTCCTTTTTTCCAGTTAGGCATGATAAGAACAAAGGACGCTGATTACTTTTTAAAGCCAATTCCTCCACACCTAACAGACAAAGCCAGCAGGTCCGCTGCACAGGCCGGCTCTCCCTCCCACGTACTGTACAAAAGATCCACTGAGCCCCAGGCTCTCAGAGAAAATGAAGTCCTGATGGTCACCAGGAAGCGAGATTTGTCGAGACCTCATCTTCACCGTGGCAACTTCCATCTTGACCTCCCACGGAAGCAGCATTTCTGTGGTAGACGCAAGAAATGTATGTAAGGGCAATTTTTGTGCATTTAATGATTTGGATAATCGTGTATGATAATGGGATACTTTTAATTTATCAAAGGCATGTCTTGCACAAGGTGAAGTGTACTAACTGTCACTGCTGTCATCAGGGGTGACTCTAGTGATCGTATTACATCTCTCATGAGTAGTGGATGGATGTGGCAGATGATTTTTTTTTAAAAAAGCTAGGGAGCAGATTACAATGACACACATCTCAGAACTATAGACCCTGCCAGACATCTTACAAAACCAAGAGCCCTGGCATCCCCCTCAGTAACTCGATACTTGAGGTTTAGACATATTAAAGCTCACATAGTTTTCCTGCTGAGGTAACTTATTTATATGCATATTTGGAGTCTTACACTGCCACATCAAAGAGGTGAGTGGAGCACAGAACTTACCTGCAATTTGTCAGCAAGCCTTTATGAACTTCGTGTTGTTTTGACCCCTCAGTGAGAATTCCCGTTTGCATGTTATCCAGTTCTCATGGTCCAGGAAACCCACAGTTCTCTAGAGTCTCCTCTGCCTGAGTGTTCAGGCATCGCCTGATTGGCCCTTCCCAGGGAGCACAAAGGCAACCTAGGTCTCCAGCCCAAACCTACTCTGGCTCTCATGGTTGCTTGATCTACCTCTCTGAAGCAGAAGAGAGAGCCTGGCAGGTGTTCTGTGGATCTTGGTGAGTAAAGAGGCTGGATGAAGCCACTGGTGCTCAATGAAGGGACACGTGTCAGGGACACGTGTCACTGAGGTATCAGAGCCCATGCAGTGTCTGGACCCATTTTGTCCCATGAACAAAATACAAGGGCTGTGTTCAGATGGGCCTGGAAAAATCAGAGTAAATCAAGTTCAGTGGCATTCCTCTTTTGCCTGCTTGGCTTCTTGCAGAGTTGGCGCTGATCTTCTTGGTGGGTCCTGTTCTTCTAAGTGGATGTCACTCATAGAAAGGCTGTTCCCATTAGAACCCCTGCTTTCAAAAAATATGAGTGTGTTCTCTTTAGAAGCAGATGACCAATGCAGATAATTAGTTAAAGTGGATGCTGAGGCTGGAGGTATGGTTGGTGAAGGAAACTTGATCATCTCAGCTGCGGGCGTCTGCTGACATGGCATTAGCTAGACCCACATGTTCCCAGGGCATTCGGAAAGCACTGACCTAAGGCTGACAGTGTTTGCTCTCAGGGGCTTCTGAGAGTCCTGCCCCTGCAGCCAGCACTGGGAATACGGCTGCCCTGCCCTCTGATGTGTCCTGTCTTTGTGTTGCACACATTTTCCCACCACTGGAGGTTAAAACCAAGAGATCTAAAGGTCACACCACACATACCTGAAATCCTTTGCTAACGCTTTCCAGAGAAGATCCAGGAGTTGGCTGTATTTACTCCCTCTTCATCTGGGGTCCCACAGCATCCTCCACAGTAGCTGATATAGAGGCCGAATGACCCAGAACAGCTCCTACAAGGGTGTCTATGCGTGTGTAAGTGGTCACAAAGTTCAGTGGTTACAAAGTTACAGTGGTCACAAAGCTTCCATTAACCTTAGCTAGGGCTTGTTTAGGTTTGAGATACAGGTGAGTGAGTCTCCCACAGATGAAATACTTGTGATGGGAAATTTTACATATTTCATCATATTTTGAGTTGTAGAATACTTGTGTATACACATAATGAATAACCTTGGAGATGGATTTCAAAACTGAACAGAGACTTCATTATTAACAATGTGCCTTAACATGTACCTGGAGGTAATTCTAGAGGATGTTCTCAGTTTATATGGGTTTCAGGTGTGACTTGTCACAAAGACATGGTATAGGATTTCTACTTCTGGCTTTATGTTTCAACTCAAATAGTTTTGGATATTGGGTCACTTCTGGATTCAGAGTTTTTAATTTAGTATGCTCAATTTGTATTTCCAACTTAATGAACAAAAAGATTTAAAATGCATCAGCCATGAGCATCAATCAAGCAGAGTCCTATTGGTTCATAGCAGGTTCTATAGGGGATCTTCTATAGTTGGAAGTTTAGGTCACCAGGATGGGGACTGAAGTAGACTTCCCCATGAAATGGTTCTGCAGTTTCTTAGCCATCTTCCAAAGTGAATCATTTTTGATATAGTGTTAATTGTCGTAATTACAAAAGCATGTTAAAGGAGTCACTGCACAAGGGTAGAGTGTGGTTTGCTCTGTTATTAAGTCTGCTAAGTATTCACAGCCTTCATTAGACTGTTCAGCACCCATCGGGTGCAGCTGCCCCCAACAGTGTACGACTGACTGGGAGGAATATTGGAAAGCTGGCTATGTCCAGATGCCAGCATCAACTGGGAAAAGAAAGCAAACTGCTTGCTGCTCTGCCAGTGACGGTGTGGAAGAGCTCTGCTCTGGAAATCTCTGTGCCTTTATGTCCTTGGCCCTAGGACGTGCTCGTTTTAGATAAGAGGGTTCGGCTCTCATTTTAACTCAGAACAAAACCATGTGAAGTCAGTTCTGGCAATGATTTCCAAGATTATATGAACCTCATTTAAATTTAGAAGGTGACTTTAACACATCTTGTGTCACAAAGAATTGGCAGTTCTGTGTTCTTCTAATATGAGAATCCTATTGTTGTGTTTTGGTTTCTTTGTGTAGCCCAGGCTGTCTTTAAAACTTGGGATCATCTTGTTCAGCATGAACATGTAAGATGAATATTAAAAGGTCTTATTTAAAAAAAACAGAACCAGATATTGGAGTGAAAAACTGAGAGATCAGAAGAATAGGAAAGCCACAGTCAACCTCACCTCACCAACTCCTCAGCCTCCAAACAGAGCTACTTCCTGTATACTCACACCTATATGCCTTTCTGTTCTGCCATCTCACTTCCTCTCTCTGCCCAGCTGCATCACTTTCTGTCTGTCTGTCCAGACCTCCAGACCTCTATGGTTAGTGCTGGGATTAAAGGCATGTGTTACTATGCCTGGCTCTGTTCCCAATGTGTTCTTGAATTCACAGAGATCTGCATGGATCTGAATGCTAGAATAAAAGGCATGTGCTACCATTACCTGACTTCTATATTTAATACAGTGGCTGGCTTTTTCATCTGATCCTCAGATAAGCTTTGTTAGGGCGCACAATCTATTTGGGGGACACAATATATCACCACATGAACATTCAATTTTCAGACTTCTGTAGGATCAGCTTTGACTCTGGCTTTGTGTGTTTGCTCTAGCTTTGTCTCTACCCATTCCTCCATAGACATGCCCCAGCCTCCCAAGAATGACCTCTACATCTTGCCTGATGAGTACAAGCCTACCTTCCGGCACAAGCGCTCCCTCCTGAAATCCCACAGAAATGAAGAGCTGAATGTGGAGACGCTGGTGGTGGTTGACAGAAAGATGATGCAGAACCATGGCCATGGGAACATTACCACCTACGTCCTCACTGTACTCAACATGGTAGGGATGGCCTCTTTGAAGTCACAGGCATACGTGTGTGTGTGTGTGTGTGTGTGTGTGTGTGTGTGTGTGTATTTGTGTATGTGTATGTCCTTGTGTACATTATGTGTATTGGTTCATGTGCACATGCTTGTTTGATTGTGTGTGTGTTTGTATGCACGTCCTTGTGTGTGCATGCCAATATACGTTTCATTTCTTACTTGTATACTCGTGTCTAGGTGTAATAAATTCTTATTTTGCTAATTTCCAGTGGAAAGGTGAAATTTCAGAACTTTGGGGAATTGAATGGGGAAAACTAATTGATCATTGTCACAATGTGGCTTATTTCTGAGGCACTTGGGGTACACTGGTACCCTCACATACTAAACGTCTCACCAGGACATTGACACACACATTTTGAGACAACATCTTTATCAGATTAACATGTAATTTTAGGCTCAGATAATGTCTATCTTTTTAAGACTAATAATGTTTGGGTGTTGAATATAAATTGTTTTATCTGCAGAAACTGATAAACTCTTATCTTGGAATATCTTCTCAGATGAAACATGTCTGTCTTAAGGAACACCTGTGGGAGTGATTGTAGCCGTGAGAGGTGCTCTGCCCGCCTCCTGTGAACTAAATCCTCATCGCAGAGAGGAAAACTGGGCTGTCCACATGTCAGAGAAAGTTAATCACAGTGTTTTAGATATATGTTTGACCTCCTAAGTCTGTGAACTGAGTACCCCACATGGGTCTGTGTCTCTCTCAGAGTACCCCAAATATGTCTCACTCCCTACAGTTACCCCAATTTTCTCTCTCCCCACAAAGAAACTTATTGTATATCTCTTTCCTCACAGAATATTCACATGGCTGTGTCTTCACCAGAGTATACACATGGCTCTCTCCTCACAGAGTACATGGCTCTCTCCTCACAGAGTACATGGCTCTCTCCTCCAGAGTACCCACATGGCTCTCTCCTCACAGAGTACCCACATGGCTCTCTCCTCGGAGAGTACCCACATGGCTCTCTCCCCACAGAGTACATGGCTCTCTCCTCACAGAGTACATGGCTCTCTCCTCACAGAGTACCCACATGGCTCTCTCCTCACAGAGTTCCCACATGGCTCTCTCCTCACAGAGTTCCCACATGGCTCTCTCCTCGGAGAGCACAGGCTATGTGACTGGACTCTGTCTAGAATCTCAGGGTCCTGATGTGGCAGCTGTCATTTGCCTGTATTCTGTAAAAGTGTTCCAATATTTACCTCGGTATCAAAGAGCCGCCATGGTTATCTGCAGCCTCCAGGATCGCCGCACTACCCCTGCCCCCAAGCCTGAATGTCACTCTAGGCCTTTGTTTCTGCTTCTGTGTGCCGTCCCCCCCTTGTGTTCACGCATCACACTCATCCTGGCTTCTGTTCCCTCCTCTTGGTCCTGTCCTAAGTGTTTCTCCTGTGGTCCCAGAAGCCCTTGTGGTGCACTTGGCATTTGTCATCACCACTAAGACTGGAATTATCCTTCTAGCAAGACACAGTGGCCCATGCGTGGACTCTGTGCAATCCTAGCACTCAGGAAGGAAGCTGAGACCGATGCAGTGTGAATCAGAGGCCAGCTAACCTACAGAGACTACAAGACTGTTGCAGTAATGATGTTGATGAGGGTGATGATGAGGACCATGATGATGATAGTGATGAGGATGATGAGGAGGAGGAGAAGCACGGGGATTTTTGAAAACTGTCTCTCCTTCATGTTAGGTAACAGATAGACACCCTTCTCCTCAAACTTTAACTTCAGACTTCCAGGCTTCCACAGTAAGGGTTCCACCATCAGCCTTCCCACATATTTATACTGCTGCAGAAATGTAAAGATGATGTTACACTCACTTAGCTAAGGCACTGAAGAACTAGGGTTTACTCTTACAGGCAAAATTTGGGCCACAGCTAGTCTATAGCACACTCATGGCTAATGCCCATTTTCTGTTTTCAGGTGTCTGCTTTATTCAAGGATGGAACAATTGGAGGAAACATCAATATTGCCATTGTAGGACTCATTCTGCTAGAAGATGAGCAGGTATTCCAGCTTCAAAAGCAGCAGAGTCATTCACAAATGAGTATGAAATGCTTCTTTAAAAAATACAGTTGCTCTGTGCAATACATGTTTATTTCTCTTTTACTTGGGAAAAGAAGGATTTTGTACTTTGTGTTTAAAATGACTCATTTGTTTTTAGTTCTTTCTAAAGGTGCATGTGCATGTGTGTGTCGTGTATATATGTGTATGTGTGTACAAGTGTGTGTCTCTGTGTGTGTGAACATGTATGTATGGTTTATGTTTGTGTGTGTGGTATATGTGTGTGTGTGTGTGTGTGTGTGTGTGTGTGTGTGTGTGTGTGAAGGTGGTGGTGAGGTTGTATTGCCACTGCCTGGGGCAGGGGGCAGCCCCCAGCAGTGCAGGGCTCAAAGGGAAATCCACAGCATTGGTGTATACTATGCTTTTGTATCAGAGGGGGTTACAGGAAGAAGATACTCACACTCTCTCTTGATGGTTTTCTTCTTTATTCTTCTGTATTCTTCATTTTGTATTCTATATTCTCTTTTCTTATCTCTATCCAGAAATGTCCCTTCTGTCTCTCTAGATGCTTTCCTTCTCCTTCTAATTCTCTTGATGTTCTCCTCCTAATTCTCCCATTCTTGATGTCTCCTCCTAATTCTCTCATTCATGATGTTTCCCTTCTAACCCATTTTAACTATATTTTTTTACTTTACAGCTTATATACCCCAGCAAAATCTTCCAGACAATATAACAATTACAATGTGGTTACATTCTGTTTTTCAAGTAAATGATTACAGTGAATACAAGTAAAAGCAGCATGTTTTCCATGTCACTTACATGATTAAACATTTTAAGTATTACAGGTAAAAAGCAAATTATCCCAAGAACCCACATATATTCATACCCAATAACTTGTTATAGATTAACTGTGTAGGCAAGTAAAATATTCTTCTTAGTCAGGTCTTTTACGGGTAGGCTGCACTTTGCAGTTACAAAGAATGGACCAATTACTTTGTTACTTATCTTGAAAGGTAATCTTATATGTCTTAGAAGAATCACAAACCTAAACTTTCATATATGAAAAACTGTCAGTTCTACTTTAAATCTTTAGAGTACATACCCACTCATCAGTAGTTTTTATATCAGGATAATGAGGTCACAAATGGGTACAAGGAATTAATCATCACCTTTGGTCATCAACTAATCCTAGCAAAAAAGTGTGTCAGCTAATGATAATTGGGTTGCTTTGTTCTTATTACCTGACCTTAAAGAGTTCCTCACTCAACTATGGCCTTTCTAAAACTTTAGATTATCTTCTTGGGTTTTTCACCTCAAAGCTATTATCAAAACATCTGATCTAACCTGAAGTTATTATAAGGCTTTGTTTCAGCTAATGCACACCAAAATTTGTCACTGTATTTTTCAGCATTAAGAATGAAAGAATTTAAGTTAACTGGGCTACTGGACTCTTAGTCATGAACCTACACAGTCTATATGACTCCTCAGTAGAAACTCATGTGTTCTAGCTGTGTGACACTTCCTTGTTTTTTATGTTTTTACTATCAAAACTCAATTTAGACTAACAATTTCTTTCTTGTGTGTGTGTGTGTGTGTGATTTTTTGAAACAGGGTTTCTCTGTGTAGCTCTAGCTGTCCTGGAACCCATTCTGTAGACTAGGCTGGCCTTAAACTCACAGAGATCCACCTGCCTCTGCCTCCTGAGTGCTGGGATTAAAGGTGTGTGCCACCACTACCCAGTGTATGTGTGTGGTTTGTGTGTGTATTGAGTGTATGGTGGGACTGTATGTGTATGGTGCATGTATGTGTGTGTTTGGTGTGTGTGTATGTTTGAGTGTGGTGGTGAGGTTCTGTGTGTGTAGTGTATGTATGTGTGTGAGTATGAGTGTGTGTGTGTGTGTATGTGGTATATGTATGTGTGTGTATGTGCCTATGTGTATGTGTGTGTGGTATATATGTGTGTGTATATGTGTGTACGAGTATGTGTGAGGTATTTGTGTCTGTATATATGTAAGTGTGTGTGCCTGTGTGTATGTATATGTTGTGTGTATGAGTGTGGTTTTTTTTGTGTGTGTGTGTGTGGTATATGTGGGCTCATGGGAAAACAGATCTTAGGATGCATTTGTCATGAGACTGTGGGAAGGAAACACACTGGCAGATTGAAAGACGAATGTGTCTTCAGCCACAATAACTTCCTGTGCGTGCTTTGCTAGAAGACTGACTGTGTCCCCAGCATGGATGGTGAGCTGTGCTGTCTCCGGCTGTACCATGTTGTTTACCCTGCCACCTTCTGCTTCCCAGATCCCCACAATTCTCAGGCTTAGATTCCGTCTTTTCCTTGGCGATCCTGGAAGACAGAACACATTTTCCTTACTGCACGCTGGTCTCAGTTAATGGTGTCTGGGTGGCAGTGGGGAAAGAAGGCCCTCCCCTCCAGCCCAAGCCTCCTGTCACCCCACACAGCTGAGTGCTGCACCCCGGGGAGCACCTCACAGCAGCATTCCCAGTGTGGAAGTCTTCATTAAAAGTGGATTCCACTTGTGTTTCTCCATGCTGATAACTGACTCAGCACAGGCATGTGGGCCCAGGGCCTGAGCCAGACACCAGGCAGCCACTCCCACCCTCGATGATGTCTCCAGTGTCCCGTGGTGGCAACGGCGCTCGTGTTTATAAAGCAAAGAATGCTTTGGATGGAATCAGAGATGATTCATAACATCTGTGGGACACCCCTTTTTCCACACAGGTGGGATGCAGCAGGGCCGGCTGTCTAGCCTGTCTAAGGCCATTGTCTGCTCTGAGAGCGTGTAGCCGGGAGGCTTTGCTCAACTAGTCAGGCTTCTCAGGTGACAGGTTAATTATTCCCTGTATTAAAAACGTTTTTACTTTGGAATTCATCCAAGCTGCACAGAATAAACAGCAAGGTTATCGTTTGATCAGACACCTGTGTTCACTTTAATTAGCAACAGTTTCCTGGAAATCACCAGCTGAGGAATGCAGACGTGCTTCTGCACTTATGTGCAGCAGGTCGCTTAGGTGCATGTGACTCTTAGAAAACAAAATAAACATTGAAGGGGAGAATGTCTTCAGTGACTAAGAAGCAACTTTTTTCAGTCGTGGCTAAGGCTTTTTACAAGATAGCATTCTGAAACAGGGGCATATAAACTGGCATTCTCTAATTGCCCTTACGACACCGTAGCAAGCCTACAAGTGGGTTCAATAACTCAATGCACCTGTTGTCATGGTGTTCCTGGTCCTCCATCCTCCCTCCATCCCTTATAGTTCTTGACTTCATGCCCATTAGTTCACTGCTGCTCTATCAGCACTCGAAAGGTATGGGTAAGTTTAATGGTATTCTGTATTGTTTCCTTGATGTTTATTTTTCAGAAATAAAGCTTTAGAATTTGACCTTTTTATGCAAATAAGTTGCCTTTGTGTAGAAAAGTTACTGGCTTAACACTGTTACCGTAGAGGTGGGGCTGCTGCTGTTGTGAATTCACCACTGGTGAGGTTGTGTGTGTGTGTGTGTGTGTGTGTGTGTGTGTTGTACAACCCATATACAAAAGAGTCTATTCTAGCTACAATTTTTCAAAGTATTAGTCAAAGATATTTTTACGCAGAAGATTCATACTCATATTTTGTCTTTATTGGTCGTTGAATCCAAGAGTCAATAATACACATCCCAATTGGTTGTGTATAGAAATGCACATAAGTGTGTTCACGGAATCCATATAGATTTGTAGAATACACTGTCATTGGGATGATAATACATCATATGTAACTCTTATATTATGTACCTTCTGGATCCATCTGTGTGTTTTAAATCTCCATTAAGAATATCCTGCTCTGTTGAAAATGGCTTTTGCATATTTTCTTTACATTTCCATGGGTGTCTTGGCCTCTCTTGCCTAGCCAGGGCTGGTGATTAGTCACCATGCAGACCACACTTTAAGCAGCTTCTGCCAGTGGCAATCTGGACTGATGGGGAAAGATGGAACTCGCCATGACCATGCCATCTTACTGACTGGGCTGGACATATGTTCCTGGAAGAATGAACCCTGTGACACATTGGGTAAGATTCTCCAGTATGATTTGGAGGGATGTGGAAGGGTGTCCCATCGGAGGTTGATGTGGTTACCATCACTACAACCAGTAGCTTTACCTATCAACTGATGTGTTACAAGAAAAAGTTCCACCTCAAATTCCAGAGTCCCTACCCTTTCTCAGGTAAGAACTGACCTTCCCCATCTTTTCCACCACTACGAATGGGACCAGGAGATTCAAACCTGTCTCATGATGTGGTAAGAGCACTGGAATTGTTGATACTGATAAAAAACGCCACAGTAATATTGTACTGTCCATTTCCATATTTGTCTGTAAAGACCTGAGCATCAGCAATCCAGTTGTGTTCTAGACATTCACAGAGTGATGCAGCACTTTGACATTTCCACATGGCCAAGGAGTGTGCTACTAACCAGGACTCTACAGAATATTTCTTTTGAACTCTATTTCTTCCTCAAATTCAGAGGGGTAGTTTTATATTAGAAGCTTCTGGATAAGACTCAATCTAGCAGAGGTTAGCTCTGCTTCTCACCAAGGCTTGCTTATGAGGCTGACCCTCAGCTAGCCCTAGAAGACATGTGTTTTATCCACCCTAGCCAGCAAGGCTCATGTTTGGACTGCTTGGACACTGCTTACCATCTACTTTCTTTCTCTGGAGGTCTGAAAGTTTTCTATGTGTCAGGCACGAAGTACCTCCATTACCAGCTCCCAGGGACAACTGTAGACACTGAGAACCTAGTGATGTTTCTGGATAGATGGCTTTACATGGATGTTACACTTCCTTGCTGGGGACATCAAGATGCCCCTGTGTGATTGCCCTATGGGAAGTCTCAGAAGCCCAGCATGGTTTCTCCTCGTGTCTCCCATGAGCTTTTCCTTCTCTGCTCTTTGTCTTTCTGCAGTGTTAAATCATGAATCACAGACAGCAAGTGCTTAGCATTGCAAAAGTGAATCACTGAGCTTGGGGTGTGACCCTGAGGATCTCACAACACACTCATCCTCTACTGTTTTTCCCCTGAAGGCTTTAGTGGACAGATATTTCTAGGAAAAGGCAGAAACCATCCTCATCTGCATTTAATCCTCTGTTCTATTTCATGCCAACTTTAGTCTTTTCCAGGAATATTGCATAGAGACTGAGCCTGTTTACCAGAAGACAGAGTCCACGGGCTCCTGAGAATACATAAGATATATCACTTCCCCCACAGCAGCATATCAGATTCACATGACTGTCCAAAGGTAGCCCATCTCACACTTCCCCAAATGAAGATAAGAACCAAACTTTACCAAATATTAGAAAACAAATACATAGTCACTCATTATCCATCAACCATGTTGTGCATCCTCTTTATCTTTATGTCTTGCAGGGTTCGCACCCATAAACGGGATGTGCAGTAAGTACCGAAGCTGCACAATCAATGAAGACTCGGGACTTGGACTGGCCTTCACCATTGCCCATGAGTCTGGACACAAGTAAGTCTGTCTCATGGGGAGGGAGGTGCTCTGTTGACTATGTGATCTCTGCATTTCAGTACCGGTTCTGTGGCTTCATCTCATTTTCCAACTGGCTGCTATGGTGATACTCTATTTGACTACAGAGGAACAAGGCTACTACTCTGGAGTCTCTCTCTCTCTCTCTCTCTCTCTCTCTCTCTCTCTCTCTCTCTCACACACACACACACACACACACACACACTCATATATGATCTGTAGACATGCTGAACTTGGAGGCATACAAGTGGAGCTCGGGAGTGTGGTCACTGAGAAGTTGCCCTGGTAGGACATGGTTGACACTCCATGTTCTGACACTGACTTCCAAGCTATTGCCTATGAAATGAGGTAACCTCAGGTTGTGCTGTGAGCTGGGTGGTTCAGCAGCCTGGATTAACAGGGCCCTAGACAAACAGCAATCAACAGTGATAGTGTTGGGCTAGTCAGACGGCCCAGTGCTTAAGCTGCTTGCTATGAAGTCTGACTCTGAATTTGATCCCAAGACACACATGGTAGAAAGAGAATCCCACTCCTGCACATTGTTCTATGACTTCTACACTCATGCCTTTTTATGTGTGCACCTACACAAAGACACACGAAGAGAGAGAGGATAGGGTGACAAACAAGTGTGATAAGTCACTTAGGGTGTCCTTTTTTTTTCATGTAAAAAAAAAACCTTAAAATTATAACCACACTGGCTTATAGAAATCAATGTTCTTATACAAAATTTCATCCTCATAATCCTGTCAGCTGTTTCACCTTTGAGCATGGTCTACTGAAACTTTCCCAAAGGCCCCATTGGCTCCCACGTTGCTACGGACATCCTCTGAGAACCCTGAGGACGACAGAGCCCAATTGTCATCATAGAAGTTATTTCTGCCCTGTTGAGACTGTAATTTCTCTTAGAAATTTCTCTTAGAAAATGAACAACTTGGGATTCCCCTTTTCTGCTAATTATCTTTCCTGAAGCTCAATTTTCCTGTCAAGAGAAAAACAGAAGCAGTGTTTTTTATTTGTATTTTGACAAGACTAGTTTTTCTACTTCCTATTAGAAGACGAACTCAATTCACCTGTTCTCAGAATAACATTCACATGTGTGTGCTCACATGCATGCACATGAACACACACACACACACACACACACACACACACACCACAGGTACAAGGGTGTGTTTTGTTCAATCAAATCCTACAGAGGCCCCTTAGGTTTTGACTTTGTGTAAACTCTTGACCTGAAGACAAAGATGAACACCAAGTTACCATTCCCTTCATTACCACAGGTAGTGATTGATGATTTCATTGCCTAGAAAATTACACCTGCACTCTGTAAGGCTTTCAGTTAAAACACAATTGTAATTTTAATAGTCCTCTAGAGTTAAAAACTTTCATTATTATAATGGCACTGGGCTCTTGTTGTCCTCTCAACCATACCTGACCTTAATTAAAGAATCAAGGCAAGAAATATGTAAGTCACTGAGAACTCAGCCTGCAAGAGTTTCATAAGTGGTGAGATAGGGACACAGGCATTGGCAGTACTAGCCACTGCTACAGGCGTCAAACTTAACTGAAACGCAGTGTGATTCTTCCTGATTGGAGCTCTCAGCCTTTGGTCTCACCTGACCCATTCGTTGGATCTGTAGGACATGAGAGCTGGCCAGCTCTTGACCCATGACCTAGCCTAGTGATCATCTCGGCCCTCAGAGGAGACCCAGTGCTCATGTTGGGTTATCCATTGCCATTCCTCTTTATAGTTCTTGTATTTGAAATCGCCTGGTATTTGACCATTCACCCCACTACCCTACCACCACACATATCCCCACTTTTGGTATGTGAAGATGTCCCTGTGTGGGGTGATGTGTCAGGAGCACAGTGCATGTTCAATATATATGGAGGGCTTTGTCCTCTAAGCTTACATAGGGAGAAACTGAGGCTCAGTGAGTTCAACCATTTTGCCCAGTACTAAACAGCTCATGTATGATTGAGCCAAGATGTTGACTAAGCTCCCTCCCTCAGCGTGCGCGCGCTTGCACACACACACACACACACACACACACACACACACACACACACACCACATTTCCATAGCTCCTGCTTACTCCAGCAACCCATCTGAGGTCTGCTAATCCCAGCCCAACTGGCGTTTCCATCTCTGCCCCATGCCCCCTGGTGAGGGTGCTCTTCTTACTTAAGGAAGTCTATGTCAGAGCTGTGGGCATCCTGGTCCTACCTACGGTCACCCTCATCTCTCCAAGGGGAATCAGCATCTGGATGGCATTGCCCTCTTGCCCCACTCAAGGGCATCTCACTTCCTCAACCACACTGTCCCCACAGCCTGCACCATTTGCTAACACTGCTTGCAGTTCATCACCCTGGAGACAGGTTAGTGATCAATAAAGTACTTTCTCACAGCAATGGGACACTCAGAGAGAACAGTGGAAGAAGCGAAAGGCACTGAATGTTGAGTGTACTTCCAAAAGCCAGTTTATCTGAAATTATGTTTGCATTTTTTTTGTTTTTTTTCATGTTATTACTATTTATTTATTGTGCTAAATAATGGGTCTTTGATGAGATTTTCTTATACATATATTATTGTACCCTGTTCTTATTTTCACTTTCTACTGGCTTTCCTCATACCCCTTCCTCTTCATAACTCCTTCCTGATTTCTCATCTTATATATGTATTTGTATGTGTACATATGTCCATACATCTGTATTCTCCATGTGAAAGAAAGCAGGCACCATTTTCTCTTTCTCTTCACACTATCCTGTCTGCTGCTTATCTCTTTATATTCTTCCTCCACCCTCATTGTCCACCTTATACTTCCATTTCATATTGTATGTATATATGTAGGTAGGTACATAGGTATGTTTATATGCACGTGTGTGTGTGCAAATATATACATTTAAATCTAGACTCCAAATACAAGAGAAAACAAAAACCATTCTGTCTTTCTGAATTTGGCTTGTTTCACTTAACAAAGTGACCTCTAGGCTAACACTTTTGTATCTGAGTCACAGTCATTGCTGGAAGATTGCCCTTTAGTCAACACACAAAAATGAATAAGCTTCTAGGGACTGTTGTGTTCATGGGTAGCATGTGTGTGAGCCTGGGTGGGAGACATCTAGATGTTCTAGGAACAAACTATTAAAGATGAAGGGACAAATACTAATAATTGTTTAACCTATCGGATGATAACCATTTTAAATAGAGTGCGATGGTGCATGGGAAAAGTGTAATCTGGCACACATAGCTTGAATTATGCTTCTTGGTAACAAATACCAGTCTTATCTTTGAGATATGTCTCCTCTTTCTTCCATGACTTTCACATTAATATCACATGTGGTCCCTGTGACATTTTTATGTAATAGACACATTCATCATGTCTGCACATGGTGCACTGATTTGAAAGAAAACTTATGATATAGTAGGGCACAGATTTTGTAGGCACCAGAATCATATGCAGTGGGTGAGCACACCGTCAGATGCTCACTCCTATTTCCCAACCTACTAGTAAGCCCGAAGTCTCCCAGGGCAGTCTTTGGATAGCCAAGGGGTGTAGAATATTTCTCTGATGCTTTAATACTAGCAGAATTTGAAATTTGATCATTGAAAATACCTTTGATAAAAAAATAAATGAAAACCAAGAATCTCCAGCCCCCAGGCACTGTTATTTGCGTTCCTTAGCATGTGGGCTGAAGTGGTGGTAAAATTATGTAGGTCAAGTGCGGGGCTGTAATGTTCTCCACTGAGAGCAGGTCGAGGGCCAGCCAGGACAGCGTGCTTTGGCATTCGGTTGTCATTGCTCTATCCCCAGTGCAACATCCCTTCTGGGATTTCAGCCCAAATCCTTCTCACAGCCATGACACATTTCCCCTGCCATGTGGTTGCCTTGGCCTTGATTAATTGCCTTTAAAAGAACTTCAGAGAATGGGTGGAGGTTAAAATGACCACATCAGCATCACCCTTGGTACTGACCAGGAATTTTGCAGAAATCTGACAATATTTGCCTGTAAGATCTCCTTGGATACACCCTCCAATCACACTCTACTTGGACCACTGCATAGATCCTACGGGCCTTGATATCTGAGGTCTTGGTTTCATTCTGGGTCAAGGGCTCTCCCCAGTCTTTAGTTTTGTCTTCATTGGGGTGTAGTCTAGTAAGACAGCAATTATATGCTATATGTTTAATGCCATGCAAACATGGCAGACATCTACGTACATGCATGTGTTCTCAGCCTCTGTACATGGACATAATCTCTTGTTCCCTTTAGAGCCCACCCCACCACCACTGAAGGTCTGCCTGTCCTTGTTGACTTCTAGCTACTCATGATGGGAGTCTTGACAGTGGCTCCCTAACCAAGTAACCATCTTGCCATTTTCCGTTTTCTCTCTTGAGTCTTTCCTCTTCCCCATGACTCTCATTCACTCAACACCTGTTCTTGGGGAGTCAGTATAAAGACAGAGCATCAAACAGCAGTAGCCAGTAGCAAGTGGCCCTCCAATAATGTGCTTACACTAATATTTTCCAAATCATGTGGTTCTTTTAAGTTTCCCAGGTTTTCTTTTGAGGTAGTTTGAACTACTTTTTAGGGGAGCTGAAAATGGTGATGTGAGTCCTTCTGCAGTCAAAACCCTGGGAATGTAAAAGATGCAGAGCTTTGGTAGGAGGTGGCTACTTGAATCACTGGTCCTTCTAGGTTCAGGGCTGCCATTTACCACGACTCTCCTGAAGAACATGCTGTTTGGCAAAGAGGGATACATGGGCATCTGAAATGCCCTCATTCATAGTTCCCTTAGCTTGAGGTGTGTTTGTACAGGAGGCCAGCGTAGAAGCCCCAAACTGTTCTGATTTCCACTCAATCAGAATAGGTAGCTGTTTAAACAATTCCCACCTATGCTCTTATCCTTGCTCACTGTTGGCAGAGAGATGCCCTCTGGAGCAATAGAGGGATTTGGGTCAGGGAGTCAGGTACTGCCTGTCTGCCATAGCCTCCAGTTGTGAGGAACTAGAACCAGGGAGCACCCTTGCATGGTTGTGAAGATGAGTGTTACCTACCTGGCAAGTACCTGTGACTGCTCAGTAGTTTTAAAATCAATCTAAGCATTTGAGTCACCGGGGGACTTATTTGAAAAGCTCAAACACCTCCATCTTTTTGTTTTCTAGCTGGAAACCTGGCTTCTGTATTTCATTTTCTCATTTACATTTTTATTTTTTTGAGAATTTCATATATGAATAACTGTATTCATATATTTTCTCTCTCTCTTTCTCCTCTTCCAACTCCTCCTGTATGTATCCCACTCCCTATCAAATGCATGACTTCTTCAATTACTGTTGTTATATATAAACACACATGTATATATACATTTGTATATATAAATACAACCTGCAGAGTCCACTTAGTGCTAATTGAAAGTTATACACATGAAATGTTAACAATATGATCACCTAAACAAGACTAACACAACACCAGTTGACATTCCAACATGGATGGGTGAGCACCCCCAGATCAAGAGTTACAGGTAATTAATGTCTCCTGAAAGAGATTCAGGGTACTCCAGGGGAAACTCTTTGATATCAAATCCCAAGTTGTCAGCCCTAAACACATATACATATGACTTCTGTATTTCTAACAAATATCTCTGAAAATTCTCCCAGGCCTGGTAGCATCCATGAGACCTCTGGGATTTGATATGTTGCCCTTTGAAGCTATGTGATAAATCATTTGTTCTTCCAAAAGGCTCCACAATTTGGAACACACAAATATTCTCCACAATTTGTCTGATAATTTTTTTGAAGAAGGGTGGTCTTCATATACTCAGCTTGCCCTCACAGTGAATAATAGATACTATAACCCAGTCTCTGATTTGAAATAACCATTTTCTATCTTCCTTAGCTTTGGTATGGTCCATGATGGAGAAGGGAATATGTGCAAAAAGTCTGAGGGCAACATAATGTCCCCAACACTGGCAGGACGCAATGGCGTCTTCTCCTGGTCCTCCTGCAGCCGTCAGTACCTGCACAAGTTTCTAAGGTATGGATCCCTCAAGCTGGCTTTGTGCTCACTCTGAACTGGGCAGGGAGGTGGCTTTTTCTTTTTTCACATCAGCGTCCTTGATTATTTTACATTTTTGTGTGTTTTTTATTGTAAAATTTATTTGTTTGACAATTTTATACATGTATATAAAATATATTTTCATCATTTACACCCCCATTATCCCCTCTCACCCCCTCCCACTTACACCAGTCCATTCCTTCTCCCCAAGTTCCCCAGTCTCTGTCTGTCTGTCTGTCTGTCTCTGTCTCTACCCCTGTCTCTGTCTCTCTCTCTGTCTCTCTGTCTCTTTCTCTCTCTGTCTCTCTGTCTCTCTGTCTCTCTCTGTCTCTGTCTCTGTCTCTCTCTCTCTCTCTCTCTCGTGTTGTGTGTGTGTGTGTGTGTGTGTGTGTGTGTGTGTGTGTGTGTGTGTGTATGCATTTGTATGAGAGTAGATAAGTGTAGGGTTGGGGGGTAGGCCCAAGGCTGACATCAAGTATAATTCTTCAATTGGTTTATTGCTTCCTACCTTTTTTTTTTTTTTTTGAGACAAACTTTCTTCCTGAACCTGACATTGAGGTTTGACTATGTTGAAATGCCAGTGAGCCCCAGAGATCTGTCAGCCTTCTGGTCCCTTGCCACTCACCCTACAAGGTTGGGGTTACAGACACCTCTTGTTTACCTGGTTTTGCATGAAAGATGTGAGGATCTGAACTCAGGTGCTGACCTTCTGTGTCTGGCAGTTTCCAATTATGCAATCTCCCCAGCCCCCCACATCCCTTCTGTTTCTGGTTTATTTTCTTATTACTTTAATTTTGTGACCCACTGAGTTTAATTGGGGTGGGTTCTGTTTGCAAGGGTGGGGTTTACTTATTGGAGCATGGGTAAGTTAATAGTGGCTATACTGAGAAAACATATTTCCCCTTCCAACAGTGATCTTTAAGTGGCTATGAGTCCTTAGAGATAGCTGAGACTCCATGTTGGGACGTCAACGGGTCCCAGTCTTGTCTTGTGCAGAGAACCAAAGTTCCTATGAGTTTATGAATGCAATGGCCATGCCATTCCCAAAGGACATGAGTGTTTCATAACAACCCACCTCCCTCCCACACCCTACATCCCCAGGCTCTTACATTCTTTCTGCACCCTCTTCCACTTAGAGGGGATGATGTTGAAGTCCCATTCAGGGCTGAGCATCCACAGCCACTTGTTCTCAGACTTAGACCAGTGTAAGGGTCTTGCTCACTGATGCCGCGTTAAACAAGGTGAGAGCAGCTTTGATTGGCCTCTCATCTGGATCCCTTCTCTTCACTGAGAGTTCCCTGTGATCTCCCTCCCACACTGGGGGCTGGTTGGAGTGTCTTTAACTCTTTCTTGTAATTATTCATCTTTTTCCAGTCTAAGTGAAACTTTCTGTAATGAGGAAGAGTTTTTCTCTTTAATGTGACTCTGCACTTATTTATATTAACAGGGGAGATTTGGAGTTTCTTTACTCAAAAGCATTTCCATAATTTTCTTGGTTCTTGTTCCAAATTTTACAGAGCTCTTTTTCATCTCAATGTCTATGAGACAAATATCTCAACATTTTTAGATTTTAAATTATAGTCTGACAACTTGGAAAATTAGAGGATGAAAATTTGGGTATGTAGTAAGAATTTGCATCATGAGAGGGCCAAAAAGCAAGGATAGAGATTCATTGCAAGGAAACCATTGCCCAGTCACAGAAAAGTCATCTGAGGACATTAGAAGTGTGCCTGCAATCTTCAAATCAGAATGTGGCTCTCAAAATTAGTATTAAGATTCTAGAATTAAAATCTAGTTTTGTTCAGCAATACTGAAAGAGGAAAATTAGGTGCTGAACTGTGCTGGTTTGGCTTTATGGTAATCAATAAAATGTTTTTCAGTGATTTTGTAAGGGAACTTCAGGGACTTTACTAATTTGTAGATTTTGTAATTACAAATAAACATGCAATATTTTGCACCGTCTTTTTTTTTATGTCAAACTTTCCAAGAGAGCATCTCATTGTCAAATCACTGTGAAGGTTGATTTAAATTGAGAGCATAGTTTCAAATGGGACAGTCTCACATGTGTGAAATCCAGAGTTTTCAGTCTTGAGGAACCTGAGGTGGCCTGTCCGCCTGGTGTGGTTGCTGGCTTCCTGGTTTCCACATAGTCAAAACAGTGTTCTATCCTCCACCAATTAGGTAGCTGTTGGGATTCAGTCCCAGCCATGAGTAAGCTGCTGCTGCTGCCCTCCATCAGCAGCCCAGCATGTGGGAAGTGGAAAAACACATACCAAAGGAACCTGATGGGCCTGGGGTGGCCAGCAAGGCTTTTCTCCATTCTAGGTGGAGTCGAGAAGGACAGAGACTTGTTTGGAGAAATTCACTCAGTGAAGTCATGTGTCATTTACCATGAATACACACAAAGTTCTTCAATTACTCATGTCTGAATACAGGAGTCAGTGACCCAGGGAGACTCTAGCCTGTCATGGTGCATTTCACAACACAGACTCATCTTTATTTTTTTTTCTTCATTTGGAATCTTGCCTCATAAACCAATGCTTATGCCTACCCTCTCACTGACGTGAGTCTATGAGTTGAGTGCATAATGCATTGGAAAGGGAGCACCTTGAGGAACTGGAGATGTGAAGGGGAGTGGATTCCCCTGTCAAACTCTGTACCACTCTGTGGTTGAGGAAATGGGATTCCCACTGAGAGACCATTGGGATGCTTTCTTTTTCTATTGTATCCAGAAGCTTTTCTAGTATTCACCTTGAGGAATGCTAGCCATGGCTGACATTGGTGCTGAAGACATGAGACAAGAAAGCAGGGACCACCATGTAGAGAAAGAAAAATAGAGAGATAATGGTTAGTAAACCACTGAGTCACATCATTACTGTCTGTCTGTGTATGATACCAGGACAGAAATAATATTATGAAAACAATGGCAGAGGCCAGAGATAGCATGAGGGTGTTTCAAAATCCTTCCCTGCTCCAATGACTGCAACATATAATGTAAAGAGCTTAATATTGTTTAACTCAGTCACAATCCATCATTTTCCAAGTGAGAAAGTGGGAGATCTCAGAAAACGTTATCTGCTAACACAGATGTCTCTGAGAGGTGGGTTTAGATAAATAAATGTTGCTCTGCTTACTAACTCTTATCTTTATAGTCTTTATGAAGTTGAAGGGATTTTCTTTTCCTCCTAGTTTTCCAGGAATGGGTGTCAGATTTTACTACATGTTTTTCTTGCATCTATTGATGCCATGTGATATCGACAAAGTGGATTATGCTGACTGACTTTCAATGTTTTTAAATTTTTAATTGTTATTTTATGTGTAAGGGTGTTTTGCCTGTGTGTATGTATATGTATCATATGAATGCCCAATACCCACAGAGGTCAAAAAGATGTTAGATTCCTTGGAACGGGAGTTATAGACAGTTGTGAGCCACTGGAAGAGAACCCAGATCCTGTGGAGAAGTAAACAGTACTCTTAAATACTGAGTTATCTCCCCAGCATGCCCTCCCAACTGACTTGAATGTTGAATTAGGATTGAGCCCACATGGCTGTGATATATGCTATATTTTTGAACCTAGGATTCAGCTTACTTTGCTGTGGTATATAATTTATTTTATGTATTTCTGAACTCCTCACTAATGTTTTGTTACAGACTTTTGCAACTATCTTGGTGACAGATTTTTGTCTATAGTTTACTCTAGTATCTTCCTCTGGACTTGGTTTTGGGTAGTGTCGACCTCACAGACTTGGTTTTGTCCCCATATTCTGAAGAGATTGGGGAGAGCCACTGTGCTTTACCCACAATACTTGGTGGAATCCGCTGTAACCCCTTTGGGACTACACACAGCCTTTGATACAGACTGATGAGCTACAAGGTGTGGGACTGGACGTAACATTAAGAAGAGTACAGCCAAAGTTCTCCCGGTCAGGGATTCGGTCTGTGGTGATTACAGCATTTGGGTTTAGTAAGATGGTTAGAGAAATGTGGGCGCTTGGAGCTCATATGAATGACTTTTTTGCTACTCGCAAGCATAAAACTATAAAACACTCGCTACAAATGCACAAATTACGCCAGGTGTTCCGGACTTGGACATTTACCCAGTAACCATCTTGAGTACAGACGATGTCTGCTGGAAATTCAGTCCTTGAAGAAGAAGCTGTAGATGTGGTGTAGGTACCCCTCAGCCAGGGCAGAAGTGGAGGGAGAGAAGAGGAGAAGGGAAGGAAAGGAAAGAAGAGAGGGATGGAGGAAAAGAAGGATGGAACAGAAAGGAAGGGGAGGGGAGGAAGTGAGTTGGTATATCTGAGATAGTTTGATTATGATTTGATTTTCACAGCAATTTCTGTAGTCCAACTGTTTCTGGCAAAAAGTGTGTGTAAGTGTTTCTGTGGTAGAAACTCTCACATTAAACATCTGGTTCCAATTATTCAGTTTCATTTTCCTTGATGATAAGCTTGAGATAGCTAAGGAAGAGCAATTTGTCTTAGATAGGTAAAATATTTTATGAATAATTTCAGAAAAATGTGGCTTCTGTATTGAAATAGGATTAAGAAAGATACTGTGCTGAACTTGGAGGGAAAGAGAATAAGCTTCTCTAAACAAAATGTGTCATCAGTTTGCACGAGGAAGGATGTATGTATCTTGATAACTCCTCCTGTTTGCTTCAGCACTGCCCAAGCGATATGCCTTGCTGATCAGCCGAAGCCCGTGAAGGAGTACAAATACCCCGAGAAGCTGCCGGGACAGTTATACGATGCGAACACACAGTGCAAGTGGCAATTTGGGGAGAAAGCCAAGCTCTGCATGCTGGACTTCAGGAAGGCAAGTGGTTGCTGTCACATGCTCGCTACAGCATGATTCATAAAACCCTTTTATTTAGTGTAACTGACAGTGATGTATTCCACATTTATTGGGCACCTACCAAATGTCAAATCCTATATGCCGGGACTGGCCCCGATGTAACAGGGAACACATGCTTTGCTGGCAGAGCCGATGAGGGTAGATACTGTTGTGGGTATCGGCTTTCGTTTCAGAGCCGACTTGGCTTGTTAGGTCAGATCTTTCTTTCTGATTTATCATGTGGGAGCACAGTAATAACTTTTAGTTGGTTTAAGTTGGCAAATTAATACTCTGCATTGTATTAAGGAAACAGTGTTCCCCCACCCCCATCCCAACATGAGCACAGTCTACTGGAAGGCGACCGTACATCACGGGGCTTCTGACTGTTGAGCTTCCCAAGTAAAGTATTTATAGAGCAGTTCCTCACAAAAGGTGATGCCTCTGCCGCCCCAGGGATGTCTCCTCGGAGATTTCCCGCATAAATCCTTCACAGAGCACAGACACACACTCTGGCTAGACAGGGAGCGTCCAGATTTTAGGAATTTGCTCTACTTAAAACCACAAGGAAAGCTACTCATAAATCAAATGAAAGTAACTAGTTTTGAGGTTTCTTTTATTCTAGTTTATAATGAAATCAAGAATAAAATACACAAAAAATACGTGCAGGCTTCCAGAGAGCCCTCAGCACATCAGAAGTGTTAGTAATGCCCCTGCCTCTTTTCTATCTAGCACAATCATCTCCTGAACTCAGCTGGGGTTCTTCTAAAGGCCAGTTGCCCTTTTGTGGGAAATACCAAGAATTTTTCCCCCTACATTGCTCTTATATTTGTTAAAGAGATAAGCATATAAAACTAAAGTTTTTGTTTAAAGCTTCGACTTTCCAGACTGTGCTTCCAGCCTCTGTGCTGTTGACTTTGTGACTGTGCACCATGCCATCAATGGTATCCCAAAGCCATTCACAAAATATCAACAACACCAAGCTAACTGTGGGTTGTCTGTTTATTACTGATGAAATAGTTACATGGAGTGAAAGGAAATCACTTTAACTCCAGTTTGTTACAGAATATGCATTGCCCTTATCAGCATCCCAAGCAAGGTGTTTGCTTAAACAAGCCTCAGGCACTGGGACATCAGTTCCGAGCATATTTACTGTTCAACAAAACTCACCTTTGTTTGACGACATTGCTTACGTCTTGGACCTCCCTGGTGCCGTCTGTTTCAGCAATTCAATAGAGAGGGGCCTACAACCTCCCACAACGCCCCTTTGTGTCTCCATTTCTCCTCCTAATTTTACTTCTGCTAACTGCCGCTTTGTGTAGCCGGAAACTCTGGCAATAAGTGCATATATGGTGAGAATTCTGTATCCCCTTGACTCCTAAGTGGATGGATCAGTGAACGGGTAGATGGATGCATGGATAGACAGATGCATGCAATCATACACAGGTGAATAGATGAATTTATATGCCAACAATGTCTTGATCATTGTTAGTTCAAAAATTGGAGAGTAGGCACAGTGCTAAGGAACAACGGTGTCAGATATTCAGGAATCTGAGGTAGGAGGTTCATTTGATCCTGGAGGTTCAGAAACAGCATGAATAACGGAACAAGACTCTGACTCCAAATATAAAGGAATTAATAAAGAAAGAATAAAAACAAATTTTCCTATGTGAGGAAGTTAGTGGAAATCAAGTTGGAGAAGAATATATAAAATGTTATTTGGATTTTTTAAATTATATTTTTATGGGTTTCCTTAATGCCTAGATTAATCCTATGTTACCTTTTGGTTTAGAAAATGCAAATAGTAAAGTCGCATGGCTGGAATTCGGGGGAGTGGAGGTCAGGGTTCAGGTTTTCTGGCTTCTTCTGGACTTTTCCTCCCTGTGGCTGAGGGGGCATCCACTCCCACTTCTGACAGATTTGGGATTTTGTCACTGATGTGTAGTGCATCTGCAACACTAACGGCTTCTCCTCCTTTAGGATATCTGTAAGGCCTTGTGGTGCCATCGGATTGGAAGGAAATGTGAAACTAAGTTCATGCCAGCCGCAGAGGGCACCCAGTGTGGGCAGGACATGGTAAGATGCTGCCCCCAGCAGCGTTCTCCACTCAGACCTCAATCCTGCAGCCCACACACCCTTCCTTCTCTTACACTGGCATCTGAAAACTACCATTTCTTATACGCATGTGCACACCTACACCCTCGCTGAAACACTGTAACTCTTCCATGTCGATATCTTTATTAGTCAGCTATATAGAATTAGTAGACTGAGCAGTCAGACAGTAGGTGACCACTGGATGGACTCCATGAAGGGAAAGACAAACACCCAATCCCCGACCGAGGAAGGACCAGTTTCAGTTTGCTTTGGCCTCAAAGATATTGGTGGAAAACCAAAGCATACATTCAGATTGAAGCACTACAAGGAAGAAGGAGGTGAACTTCCTGAGGCTAGCATCCCATATCCATTCAGCCTAGCAGAGTGTTAATCAGCTGTGTAGCTGAGTCCCTCATTGGAAGTGCAACTCACAACTGGCAGTTAAACAGTTCTAGTGATCCAAGCAGCTGCCACTCAATCGACTCACAGTAAAAGTCTCACAGAAAGCGTTCGTTTCTTGGATGAGCCCATGAATAAAAGGAAGCACTGGCTGTGGAACTTTCAATTGTCAAAGACCCTTGTGTAGCCTTTCCAGGTATTCAAGTGCAGGTGACCACATATAAACATGACAGCGAGTACCAGCAATAATGGGACATAAGGGACATAACCATGCCTTTCTTTGGAAAGATGTGTGTCCTTTCTATTGCCACACTGAGTTGTCCTTCACACTAGACAGGGAGTTGCATCCCAGACACTCTGTGCTCTTTACAGCAAATACTGTCCTTTCTGGGTAATACAGCTGTTGTGTTCCTTCAATATAACGTGTATGTTCTTGCTACATTTTATTTAGCTTAAAAGTTCATTCATTTTCAATAGTATTTTAGGTTATTTTCCCCTGTATTTTAAATACTGCCTTTTCCCCACTTCGTGTTTGGAAGAATTAGAGCCAGTTCAGCTGAAGTGGTTTCTTGAGAGTTAGAGAGCCGAAGCACAGGCTGGATCAACAGTGCTGTGCCCAAGATCCCACTGTGCCTTGTCCTGGTGACGTTTCTGTTACTGTTACAAAAGACCCTGACCAAAAGCAGCTCAGCTCATATTTCCAGGTTAGAGTCCATCAGAGCATGAGAGTCAACGCAACAGTACTCAAAAACAGCTCGTCACATCAGGTCCA